TATTTTTATAAAAAAATAACAAAAAAATGTTTACTTGAAAAACATTGTAAATATTATACAAAAAAGAACCATGCAATCACTTTTGATTGCCCGTGTATGTACGTATGTGTGTCTAACAAGTTATGACTTCTTATCAAAATACCGATATTAACTAATAAACTTAATATTATATCGTACAAATGTGTTTGTAAAATTAATTTCATTAAAATTATTTCTGCAATCAAATTTTCTATTCATGCAAAAAGCCAAACGCATAAATATGTACGTATGTACACATTCATTTGTAAATATGTAGATATGTAATATATATGTACATACAAATGTGCGATTGGTCGGCTTTCGTCTTCCCCTCGCCGCTCCCATCCATACACAAATTATTCAATTTCTGGGAATCGACACCAGATTGGCACGTGCGCGAAAATATTAACCCTACATTCACGAAATATTTAGATTTTCGCATAAGTTTGCATTTAATAAAGCAATACTCGTACATTTTGTATGGAGAATAATATTAATTAATTTAAAATTCTGCATGTAACCATGTTCTCGACGATATATGTAACTTTCATAAAGATTAACCATAAAAATTGTGCTTCATTAACAGTTGCAACCAGCTGAAACCAAAAAAACTATGTCCGCTAAATGGGTTAAAGACCAACTGGAATTGACATTTTTTACACGAATACATGCATACATTCATATACACATGTACAGTGGAGTAGCACTAGGTTGAACAATGCATTGCTTGTACTTTGATGTGTTTGAATCTTTTATGGTACTGAAGATTTGCTTAGGGATGAAAAATATTAAAAATCGTTCGTGCATATATGTAAATATATTTTTATAAACGCTTGGAAGTATAGAAATTTTTAATATTAAAAAATAAATAAAATATTTTTTTTGTATATATATAAATTTTGTTCAAGGCACATTGACCCACCTGTACAAAATTTGTGGCGCGGCATGGAAAAAATTTTACAATTTCGGACCGAAAAATATGAAAACGAGCCAAGTTGCCACGTTACATCTGTGAACTTCCGATAAAACCACATATGTTTGTGATTTTACAAGTTTTGATTTTATTAAAAAAAAATTAATGTATTTTGCTGCAGAAAACATACACTTTTATTTAATGTTTATTAAAATGACACTTTAAAATACTAGTTAATGATTGAAATATTGGTATGGAACAGAGAAATAGAGTGTTTTGTCAAAAACTTACCAAAAATTGCCAAGATTCGAGATAACTTATTTTACTGGATATAGAGAAATAATTGCCAATTTTCACTTGGCTGGCCGAGATTTCTTCATTTTAAGATTTTAGAATTTTTGTGTCGGATTGACAAAGTTGCGCTTGTTGGTGAAGAATTTGCGGGGAGATGTGCTGCGGTTGTTTTTATGAATGAATTTACTTGGCCTTGAGAAATATGCAAATGCGTTTATGAATGAAATAGTTATTGTTGTATTTGAGTATACGTGTAATTATGTGCATATATATGTATGTATGCTGCCGTGATTTGTACATATGTACATTTATATGCATGTTCGTAGTTTTTTTGGCAGTAATATGCATATACATATATATGCATGCAAAAAACGTTATCAATTAATGGAGCATGTACATACGTATGCGTAGAAAATGCATTTTCATTTGACTCCAAAACTATTTGGGCATTTGGGAATTTCCTGTTGCTAAAAAATTTCCTGTTGCTAAAAAATTGATGTACAAATAAAAGCGTTGTAAAAATATACTTACTTATGTAATATACATACAATTATGTTGACAAATTTAAGTTATTTTAGGTAATATTTTTATTTTATTTTTTAATATAAGTTCTTAAACTATGTACATACAGATAAATTCAGATTTTAAAAATCTAAAAGAAAATAAGAAATATAACAAAAATAAATCCTGAAATGAAACAAATTAAAATTGTTTTTCTACAACTTTAGGTTGGACACGAATTACGAATATGCCTTCTCATATGAAGACAAATTCTCACACGATCATTTAAGATCATTTTTATTTTTCACCAGTTTTTAATACCACGATTCAATCCACTCGGTTGAAATCGTACGGTAATAGTTTAAAAACTTGGCTCGTGTGTGCAAGTGAAAATTAACCACCTACATACATATGTAACTACTAACTCAATCAACATATATATGTATGTAGGTATATTATTCTACTTAAAAGGCATGCACTACTCTACTACTACTACGGTTAATTACTACAAAATTTAAAATGTTAGAAAAAAAAGAAAATATACGAAAAAACCCAAGGGAATATCTGAAAATAGAAGAAAAAAATAAAAATTAGATTTCATATTCAATTTTATAAGAAAATATCTGAAAACAGAAGAAAAAAATCTGAAAATAGAAGAAAAAATCTGGAAATAGAAGAAAAAAAGCTGCTGCCGTCGCATGTTGCCTCCAATTTCATGGGCTCTTAGCTTGCAATTGAAAATGCCATTTCGTTCAATCATTTTCTTTTTTTTACATTTAATCTTTTCAATTTATTCTGTTTACGGCGCTCCATGTTTGCTTGGGTTTCATCTCCAGCCAACCATTTCGCGTTTTTAAACAGTAATACGGTTACCATGGAATTCAGAAGTTGCTTTCGGTGCTCAAAACAATCTCCGGCTTCTGAAAACCATTCCGAAAATTCTTCATTTGTTTTTTTAATAAGCGCGTTAACAATTTGTTCATGAATTCCAACTGAATGAGCATATTTCTGAAATAAATGCTTATACCATGCCATCTGCATGCGCAATATTTCAAATACCCACTCAGTTGGATTAATTAGTCTCACATCAGGACATTCTTTATAATTTTTAGCTCGGATCAAGGCTTCGGAATAGTCTTTCAGTTCGCCTGGAGTTTTCACCATCGCGTCAATACAAGTTTTACATTGCGACTTTGACAATAATTTTTGGTAAATGGTATAACCTGCGTAGTACCTTTGCACCTGGATTTCTGCTGATGCCCCTTCCGCGAGAGCAAAGTGCTCTTCAGGAATGTCAATATCCCAAGAAAATTGCTCTTCTGGAATATCGACATCCATCGCAAGTTGCTCTGAAGGTCCTAAATTGTCTTTTAAGGAATCTTCATCAGCAATATTCCAATCCAGGTTCAAATCTTCATCATCTTCGCAGTTTGTACCTTTTTTATCAAATTTCCGTCTCAAAATTTTCATAGAAATTAAGCGAGCAACAATGTACTGAATTTCATGGCCCGATGGATGCGTATTAATGCCCTGAGTTGCGCGGATTCTATAAAAAAAGTTCTCAAGGGCATCTTGATTCAATTTTCCCAACAATATAAAATTTAAATCTTTGCAATTTTCAAAGACATCTTGACTTAAATTAATCATAGAATTAATGGTTAAAATGAAACCAGCAAAACACGAGGAATTTATATTATTGGGAAGTTGAATCGACGAAATGAATTTAATGTGGTCCTTAAGCCTGTTAAGCTTGTCTACAGAATCGCGCCAAATTGGACCCTTCAATGGGTTTTTATTATTTAATCTCTTACAATCGAGCTCATCGAACAAATCATTCATGCGCTTTACAAACAACTGAGTCGGCTTGGCACATTTGAGGGTGTATTCATCAGACCCTAGCAACCCTTGTTTCTGCGCCATATCAATGCCTGCAGCTACCGAATTACTCAATAGCTGCGTCGCTCGGGATACGCTCATTTTTTCAAAATTATTGGGGTAAATATGCGAAGCTGTAAGCTTAGGACATACCTTGAAGTTTACATTCGCTTTATCTACCGAATATAATTGACGAATGACTTTACCGCTCGCGATGCCATCGACAGTTTTCAAATCGTGCTTTAATAAGTTATTCCGAACCGATTTAATTAAGTGGCAATAGTCGTAAAGACAGTGAATTTTATTTGAATTGAAAATAAAGAACGGATTTTCCGCGGAGACATTTAAAAGTTTAAAAAGACGAACGTTGGTTGGGCCTTGATCGCAGACGATGGCTTTGACGCTTAAGCCGAGGCCTTCAACCGTTTTAATATTTTCCGTTAAGGATTCTAAAAGATTTGAAGCCGACATACCGCCTTTAACCATATAATAGGAAAGGACATATTTCCAATCCGCCGCGATGGCTTTCACCATGAAAAAACAACATTTGTCGGCGACATTGAGGTCGCGATTACCGTCGCCAATATCCACGAAACCGTCAATAATATCTCTACTTTTATTATAAACGAGATCTTTTTTAATGGAAATTTCGTCGAATAAAATTTCGCAAAACCGCTCGGTGGGAGACATTTCAGAAACGACATATTTTAAATTTTCTATTACTTTAAAATCTATACCCGGCGATACATATTTAATAGGGCGCCATCGCAAAAGCGATTTTTTGTGAGGAAGTGAAAACTTCAAGTCATCGCGCATAAAATTATAGGCTTTAGTCGACATGTAATTAATATTTTGGGCTAAAGTTTTTTCCGTGTCCGTGTAGGAACTAACCGACCGTACTATCATTCTAGCAAAATTTAAAGCGTCATCGCTACAATCGGGCGAAGCTACTATCGCGTGTGTTTGCAAACGAGCAATTTGTTGCTTTAACGCGACGTTTTCGTTTTGCAACTCTTCAATACGTATGTCCTGCGCTCTCGCGTTACCCTGATAAGTACGCGCAGCCCGAGCGAAAGGCTCATGGTCGCAAAAACCAGGTTCATTGCTAAGGCCCTCCTCAGTGCCGCTAACATCAAAACCAGAGAACGTTTATAACTGAGAAGGCGCATTTTCTCTGTGAACTAATTTCTGCCAGAAATTTTGGGGTGCAGTCGGCCAAATACACCACACGTCGACGAGTGCACCACTCGACCGACGGTGTCGGTAGAGAAGTGTCGGCTGCCACCATACCAAAAATTTTTCCGTGCCACCACACTTTGAGCAAATTGACCATAGTTCAAAGTAAAATGAAAAAATAAGAACAAAATGGAAAGAGGAACAGAAATATAGTAAGCACTGGACAGAGGGGATGCTTGCGGAGGCAGGCGCGTGCTTGTGTCGGATCAAAACAAACTCTAAAATAAAAATGGAAGTCAGAACGACAAGTGTAGAGTAAGAAGCGGGAAACGGGGAAAGGAGCGGGCTTTTGTACATTTGCTTGCTTGCCGAAAATATGATATTTGCATGAAATCGATTTGCTGATTTTTGCAAACATGTATGAATTTTTCTATTTCAGCTAAGTTGATAAGATTTTCTAAGGCATTTTTTCGACTTTTTTCCGCAATTATCTAAAGTCATGTAAAGTGGAACTTTTTCAATAAAACTATTTCATTACAATTTAATGAAACATATGTATGTATGTATGTATATATTTACTTATGCACATACACATATATACGTACATACATATACATATCTATGAATTGTAGCAATTCATTAAATTGCATTAGTGTATGCATGCGCAGTCGGCTAATTTTTACATTTCCATTTGCCGACGGCATTTTGCATGCGCAAGAATTTCCTGTTGCTAAAAAATTGATGTACAAATAAAAGCGTTGTAAAAATATACTTACTTATGTAATACAATTATGTTGACATTATGTTATGTTATTAATTATGTTGTTTATACAGAACGTAGAAAAATTCAACAAATGTTGATCTAAATTTTCTAATTTTTAATCGAATGGCCTTATTCATTAAAAATTTTTTAACTTATTTTAGTTGCCGCGCTGTTTTCAATGCAACAAATCGCAGTTTTCTAGGTGCCTTAGTCCGCAACAAAAAATCATTAAAAATCTACGCGATTTTAGCCGCTTAAAACTTGCACTTGCTTTTCTACCGATCTATCATTCTAAAAACTGAGATTAAAAATCACAAAATTTAGACGAAAATTTGTTGAATTTTTCTAAATTTTGTATAAAGTTTGACTTATGTGGTTTCGATTAAAGCATGAACCATATTTTTATAAAAAAATAACAAAAAAATGTTTACTTGAAAAACATTGTAAATATTATACAAAAAAGAACCATGCAATCACTTTTGATTGCCCGTGTATGTACGTATGTGTGTCTAACAAGTTATGACTTCTTATCAAAATACCGATATTAACTAATAAACTTAATATTATATCGTACAAATGTGTTTGTAAAATTAATTTCATTAAAATTATTTCTGCAATCAAATTTTCTATTCATGCAAAAAGCCAAACGCATAAATATGTACGTATGTACACATTCATTTGTAAATATGTAGATATGTAATATATATGTACATACAAATGTGCGATTGGTCGGCTTTCGTCTTCCCCTCGCCGCTCCCATCCATACACAAATTATTCAATTTCTGGGAATCGACACCAGATTGGCACGTGCGCGAAAATATTAACCCTACATTCACGAAATATTTAGAT